TGCACACTGGTCTCTAATCAAATAAAATGGGAAATCCCAGGCTTTTCGTCTTACAACTAAAAACTAACCCTGAACGAGAGGAGGAGGAAGTAAAGGAGGCTGAATCATGACATTAGTGGACAGAAGAAACCACAAAGGAATAGGTCAAGGGCAGAAGCAGTGTGAGTCAGGAAGCTGCACAAGGCGGCAGCAATATTCCTAGGTGTTGGTCCAACTTCAAGACAAAACCTTAACAGCACTATCAGTGAGAGCATGTTTTCACCAAGGTGAGTAAAAACTTATGTGCAAGACCATTCGTGGGAAAACAATTATTTCTTCAAAAATTACTGCTGGAAGAACTGGATATCCACATGTGAAAGAATGAAGTTAGACCCGTACTTCACACCATACACAAAAATTAACTCCCAGTGGATCAAAGCCTTAAATATAAGCACTAAAACTATAAAACAGAGAAGACAAGGGGGTACATTGTCATAACCTTGGATTTGGCAATGGATCCTTAGAAATCACACCAAAAGCATAAGCAACAAGAAATAAAATAGATAACTGAACTTCACCAAGATTTAAAACCTTTGTGCATCAGAGGACATTATCAAGAAAGTAAAAAAACAACCTACAGGATGGGAAAAAAAATATTTGCAAGTCAGATATCATATAAGGGTCTAGCATCCAGAATATATAAAGAACGTTTACAACTGAACAACAAATAGACATATAACCCAATTAAAAATATATATATTTGTTCACGTAGGCTAGGACAGGAAGGTAATAACATAAAAAGGAAAAATAACTGTAGTAGACTGAAGACCTATACATGCATATTTCCTTTAAAGAAAGAACCAAATGCAATGTGATCTAGACTTTGTTCAGATCCTGATTCAAACTAACTGTAAGAAAACATTTTTGAGATTATTAGGAAAATCTTGATATGGGCCAGGTATTAAATGACCTAAATTAAGAAGTTACTCTAGATTTTGTCACATATGATAATAGCACAATGGTTATGTTTTTTTAAACATTCTAAAGAATTTACAGTGAAATCACATGGTATTTGAAATTTGATTTAAAATGCTGCTGAGCACTATTCACAGTAGCTAAGACATGAAATCAACAGTACACTGAATAAAGAAACTGTGGCATGTAGGCACCATGAAATAATATGCAGCCATAAAAAAGAATGAGATCACATCCTTTGCAGCAACATGGATGGAGCTGGAGGTCATCATCCTAACCAAATTAATGCAGGAATAGAAAACCAAATACCGCATGTTCTCACTTATAAGTGAGATCTAAACACTGAGTACCCATGGACACAAAGAAGGGAACAATAGACACTGGGGCCTATTGAGGGTGGAGGATGGGAGAAGGGTGAGGAACAAAAAACTACCTTTTGGGTACTATGCTTATTACCTGGGTGACAAAATCATCTGTAGACCAAACTCCTGTGACATGCAATTTAACCATATAACAAACCTGTACATGTACTCCTGATCCTAAAAGCTGGAAAGAAAAAAATAAAATAAAATACTGCTGGGAAAAAAATTGAAAGAGGATAGATAAACCAAAACTGGCAAAATGTTGATAATTGTTAAAACTAAGTGATTAGTGTTAGGTCCATGAGTGCTTGTTATCCTATTCTATCTTTGCTTATGTATGTTTGAAATTTTTCATTTAAAAAAAATTATAAATGTTATTTAATGTTGCTGTTGCTTCAACTTTAAGTAATCAGGAAAACAGAAACACTAGCAACTGTATTTTCAGAACCTTACCTAGCTAGAATAGATGGCTCAATTCAGATCCAACCCAACTCAGACCTCAGCCAAGGGCAGATCTTTTGCAAGACACTGAGATCGGGCCAATCTTGCCCTTGGTGCTGGTTAGGGGAGAACAAGAAGAGGAAGAAAAACTGACCATAGGCAATGAGACAGCCCTTTTGAAAGAGCAATGAGCACTTTGCAACTGTTGGCTAAGGGGAAAAGCTGAAGCTATTCCCTATATGATCTCAGAAAACACCACCTCTCTCTCCGCCCTACTGCAACCCAGAGAGCTTCTTGCAGAAAGTGCTAAAGGCTCTCAATTAACCATGTTCATTTTCATTATATCTTTATTTATTTATTTATTTGGCAACAGGATCTCACTATGTCACACAGGCTGGAGTGCAGTGGTGCAATCATAGCTCACAACCTTGATTTCCTGGGATCAAGTGATCCTCCCACCTCAGCCTCCTGAGTAACTGCAACAACAGGTGCGCACCACCATGACTGGCTAATTTTTTTTTTTTTTTTTTTTTTTTTTTTTTTTTTAGATACAGGGTCTCACGATGTTGCCCAGGCTGATCTTAAACTCCTGGCCTCAAGAAATCCTCAGCCTTCCAAAGTGCTAGGATTACAGGCATGAGCCACTACACTCAGCTTCATTACCATTATCTCTTACATTTCAAGAACACTTTATGTTTTCAAATAAAGCTCACCAACACCCCATGATCTAGGCAAGGCAGGAATTATTATCCCCCATCTTACTCATAAAGGAGCTAAGTTCTAAAGAGCTATGCCATTTGACCCAGGTCACCTGCTAGTGGGCAGGGGAACAGACTAGGAGCCCAGCTACTCCAATTATTCTCCAAGGTAGTTTTCTTACCAAAGTCCTATTGTCTTTCTTTTATTCCTTATCATTCACATTTCCTTTCTTTTTCTTTTTATACCATTGCTTTGACCTTTATGAGACTGACAGTCACCTTGGGAACAAAAAAATGCATAGTAAAACCTACAAGCAAACTTTTCTCATCCCACCATCTTTTGGGCCATCAGGGAGATATCTCAGAATGTTAGTGGTTTCCTGGTTGTTTTGTGTTTTGTTTTGTTTTGTTTTGTCTTTGTTATTGCTTTGTTTTGTTTTACAATCAAGAGGAATTGACTTGAACACTTTCAAGGAAGAAAAGTGAAGTAAAGAAGGAACACAGGCTGGGTGCAGTGGCTCATGCCTATGATCCCAACACTTTAGGTGGCTGAGGCAGAAGCATTGCTTGAGTTCAGGAGTTCGAGACCAGCCTGGGCAACATAGTGAGGCCCTGTCTCTACAAAAGAATTTTTTAATTAGCTGGGCATGGTGGCACACACCTGTAGCCCCAGTTACTAAAGAGGCTGAGGTGGAAGGATTGCTTGAAGCTAGGAGGTATAGGTGGCACTAAGCTATGATTATGCCATGCTCTCCAGTCTGGTAATCTGGGTAATACAGAAGACCCTAACTCAAAGAAAAGGAAGAAGAAGGAAGAAAGAAGGATGGGGAGGGAGGAAGAGAAGGGAGGAAGGGGAGACGGGAGGAGGAGAAGGGACAGGGGAAGGAGAACGAGAATGAGGAGGATGGGAAGGAGGAGGAAAAGGAGAAGGAGAATGAGGAGGACAGGAAGGAGGAGGAGAAGGAGAATGTTTGTCCAGCTTTAAAAGGTACCCCAGTGGCCCGCCAATCCTTGAAAAACCTCAGCTCTGCAAAGAGGGTTTACAGCTCCAGGTTGACAAGGACAGCAGGCTAAATGGTATAGAGGCAGCCTCAGTGGTTAGGTTCAGAGAGAGTAAAAATCCCCCAGGGGGTTAGCAATGAAAGGTCCAGAGAGCTGATTCCAAGAAAAAAGCAGGAGCCTTATGCAGGGAAAAGGACAGTGAACTGAGAATCAGAGACCTGGGTTCTACTTCTGATTCAGGAAAAGTTCATTCCAACTCCAGGGTTTTTATTTCTCTGTCCATAAAAGAAGGGAGAGTCTCAGCAGTGCCTTCCAGAGTTGGCACTGGCAACTTGTGTTTAAATGCATCAGAAATGTCACACAGAATCAGATTTTACCCTGGCAGGGCACAAAGGCCCATGTCTGCCTCTAAGGTTGGGGCCAACTCTTAGATATCCCTAACTATCCCCTTTTTTAAATTGACAAATAAAAATTGTATATATTTATCATGTACTACATGATATTTTAAAATATGTATACATTATGGAATGGCTCAGTTGAGCTAATTAACATATACATTACCTCAAACAAATACCTTTTTTGTAGTGAAAACACTTTAAAATCTTATTTTTTTAAGAGTCAGGGTCTCACTACATTGCCCAGGGTAGCCTCAAACTCCTGGGGCTCCCATCTCAGCCTCTTGAGTAGCCAGGACTACAGGCACACACTACCACGCTAGCTAAAATCTTTCTCAGCAGTTTTCAAAACACATTGTTATAAGCTGTAGTTATCATGTTATACAATAGATTTCTTGAATTTATTTCTCCTAACTGAAATTTTGTATCCTTTGACCAACATCTCCCCAACTCCAACTCTCTACCCCATACCCCTAGACCCTGGTAACCACTATTCTGTTTGCTTCTAAGATCAACTTTTTTAGATTCCACAAAGAAGTAAAATCACACTGTGTATGTCTTTCTGAGCCTGGCTTATTTCACTTAAATAATGTCCTCCAGGTTCATCCATGTTGTGAACATGGACAGCATGTTTACAACAAATGACACCATTTCCTTCTTTTTTAAGGCCAAATGGTGTTCCATTGTGTATATATACCACATATTCTTTATTCATTCATCTGTTAATGGGCACTTATGTTGATCCATATCTTGGCTATTGTGAATAGTACTGCAATGAACATGGGAGTGCAGATACCTCTTCGATATGTTAATTTTAATTCCTTTGGATATATACCCAGTAGTGAGATTGATGGATCATATAGAGTTCTATCCCTAACTCCCTTTTAACCTGCTATTAAGAACTGCTTTCCCTGTGTGTTTTTTTAACTTGTTTGTTTTCAACCTACACCACAGTGAACAAATTTCCATTGAACTCTATTGGCTTCTTGATGTATGAAATAGGACTTCACCCCAAGGCACAAAAAGGCTTAAGGGGCCAAGTTAATAGAAACTTATAGAGCCGCCTCTTGGTGGACAGCATGTGATGAGGGATGAGAGTGGCAGCTTCTGAGACAGCCAGTGCCCAGCCCCCAAGGCAGTGGACTCACCGAGATCTTGGTAAAAATGTAGAGCAGCAGGGACAGAACAGAAAGGTAGACCTGGATCCGCTGGCCTCCAAACCGCTTCCGCAGGTACTCTGGCATCGTCACCACCTGCATGGGATGCGAGGGAGGTCACTGACAGCCACAGTGACCAGAGGGTCCAGAGCAGACAGAACAGTGTAGTCCATCCTGGTGTCAGAGCCACAGAAGTGTGGTCAAGGATTCATAACCTTCGTTGGCCAGAGAAGTCTGGGAAGTGGCCAGATGGTCCCTGACCTCTAGCCATTTGCTCATTTTAATCCTATATGCCCTACCACTGTAGGAGTAGCTAGGTGTTATCCCATCCCAATAAACCTGTGACTAGGCATTGCTAAGGAGCCAGACCCTTGCTCTGGAGGAGTATACACACACACACACACACACACACACACACACACACACAAACACATACACATATATACTTTTTGTGGTGAAAACACTTAAAAATCTTTTTTTTTAAGAAGCAGGGTCTCACTATATTGCCAGACGTTTTATATATATATATATATACACACACACACACACACATAATATATAAAAATATTATGGAATATATACATATATATATTCCATACATACTGGAGTTATATATAACTACAGTTGTATTAGGTATTATAAGTAATCTAGAGATGATTTAAAGCAGTGGTCCCCAATCTTTTTGGCACCAGGGACTGACCAATTTTGTGGAAGACAATTTCTCTATGAAAAATTGGGATAAGGGGATGGTTTGGGGATGATTCAAGCACATTATATTTATCATTATATTATCATAAGGAGCATGTAACCTAAATCCCTTGCATGTGCAGTTTACATAGGGTTCTCACTCCCATGAGAATCTAAAGCCACCTTTTACCTGACAGGAGGCAGACCCCAGGCAGTAATGCTCTCTTGCTCCATTGCTCACCTCCTGCTGTGAGGCCCTGTTCCTAACAGGCCACGGACGAGACTGCTACCAATCCACAGCCTAGTGGTTGAGAACCCCTGCCCTAGAGGATACAGTCATAAGCCTGGACTGGAAAGAATCATCAGACCCAGGCCCCATTGATCTGTTTAATGCCACTGCAGACAATGGGGAATTTTATAGCCTGGGAGTGAAAGCCAATCCACAGATTTTTCTGCCATTTATTCCATAATGTCTCCTCTGCCCTCTAGGAAGACCAAGCTCACAGATACATTTCCCAGTAGGAAATGAAATAACAGAGCAGATACTTACCCCAGCCTTAATATAGATGGGGACAAACAGCCAGCCCAGCACAACCACCAAAACCAGGGCCTGAAATAAAAATAAAAGGTGGACTAAAACTAGGAGGAAACTTAGCCCATCCCTGCCACTTGAAGGGCCCCTCAGCTGCTGCAGAAAAATTACCCAGCAAGTTCTCCCCTAAGGAGCCATTAGAGATGGGAGGAAGCCTTTGCTGCCTGACTGACCCATGGAAATAGCAGCTAGGAAACAGCAGAGGGGAGCCCAGGAGGCTGTTCATCAGCATCATAGCCCTAGGCCCTAGCTAGAGCACTGGGTTCTCCTTTACCTCTTCCCTGGTTTACGCAGAATAAAATACCATTTAGAGAGCTTTAATAATAATAATAGTAATAATAAATAATTACATTTATTATTACTACTACTATTCTTAGTAGAGGTCAGGAGTTCAAGACCAGCCTGGACAACATAGTGAGGCCCTGCTTCTACAAAAAATTTAAAAATTAGCTAGGCATGGTGGCACATGCCTGTAGTCCCAGCTACTTGGGAAAGTGAAGTGGGAGCATCACTTGAGCCCAGGAGTTTGAGGCTTCAGCAGGCTATGATTGCACCACTGCACTCCAGCCTGGGCAATGCTGCAAGACCCTGTCTCTAAAAATAAAATAAGAATAATAATAATGATGATGATGATGATGATGATGATGGAAATCCAGCAGTAAGCATTTTCAAACCTCAAATATGGCTAGAAGGACCTTGGCTTTTTAACATGACAGGAAAACAGAAAAAATACCATTGCTGTCATATCAGTGGTTTTCCCATGCTACTCTGGTAGAAGGGGAGCAGGACCCTGAGGCTCCTGAAGCCATGTCCCTCCTCTGTCTGTACCCTGGGGTGACCCTGAACAGTTCCCTAATACTTTCAGCTCCTCTGAGCATAGACTGAAATGGATGACTGCTAAGGCTCCTTCTAACCCCAGTGCACCATGACTGCAGCATTACTCACGTTCCATTCAAAGCCTCCAATAGCAATGCCTGAAGCTGCTCCTGTCCCAGCCAGCCCCACAAAGTGGCCACTTCCAATGTTACTAGCGAAGAGGGAGGCTCCAATCTGGAAATACAAAGAGAAAGTAAGGTGAGGGCTCTGTGTTCCACCAGGACACTCAGGGTGGGCCAAAGAGAGAAGAGACATGTCAGCCAAGAGAAGGACAAGAAAGAGCAGAGGTGGGCTGGGAGCAACTGTGCTGGAGTCATCAGGGACAGCAGGTTCAGAAGTCAAATGTGGAAACTTGGAAACTGGTAAAGAAGAAAAGGAGAGGATTGAGGAAGGAGCAGTGGGATGTATTCCAAAACTAGATTATCTGTGAGTCTTTTGTGAGCCCCATGTCTAATCCTGAAGAAGATATAAGAAGTCACACAGCCACTGGGCCCCCCTAAAAATCTCCTTCAAGGTTGTGTGCCTAGGGGCAAGAGCTCTTCATCTCCATATCCTCCAGCATGCCTGGTGGTTTAAGCTCTTGCCACATACAGGCTCTCAGTAAACACTGACAATTTTCTTGAAAGAAATCATTTCAAAGGAAGCCTCTGGACCTTAGTCACCTGGTCAAATAAGGAGGGGCGTGGAGCTGATGATTTGCAAGTGATTCCTAGCTATTAAATTATGTGATTCCATGGACTCCCAAGTAATAAGAGATGATATAAATAATAATAATTCTCTAAATCATATAGTATTGATATTTTTTCAAAGGTTCTAGGGACCACACAGACACATGCACAAAACACTGCATTTTTCAAGGATGCACACATGTCTAAATACACAGATTAGAAGACAGATTGGAAGCACATATACCAAATACCCAAGAGTGGAAGACTGGAAGGGGAAAGAAGAATGGGGTTGCGAGTTGGAGACAAAAAAAGAAAATACCAGTTAAAACAAGAGAGGGATCTTGTACTGACCAATCATAATACTGTGTCAGCAACTCCATAGCATTTGAGTCAAAAAGAACTCCAGAAAGTTCTAAAGTCCTTCTATGTCCAAGAGGAGAAGGTACAGCAGCATTTGATAAGAATCAAACAAGTGAAATTATTCCCATTCTTGCTAAGCAGAGGGGGAGAGGCTTGTAGTTATTTAACTAATGTTCCAAAGATGGTCCAAACCTGGAACAAAATGCTTATTTCCCAAAAGACAGAGGATGCCAAGAAACCGTTCTAACTATACCAGCCCCTAAACCCAGTAGAAGCAGCTTAGTGCCAAATATTAAGTTGGGGAGAGAGAGATTTCTGAAGGCCTAGCCAGAAGAAGTTCTCAGAATGACAATGAGGAGACAGTGGTTGGTGCAGGTACATTCATTCATTTGCTCAACAAATATTAACTTAGCAACTACTACACATGTCAAGCACTAATAACAGCTGTGAAATACACAGACAAAATCCCTACTCTCAAGAAGATTATATTTGGACACAGTAAGCATAAATAAATAAATAATGAAAACAATGATCAGAGAGTGGTAAGTGCTATGACAATAGAGGGGATTAGATTGAAGAGTCTGAGAACATCACTTTGTGTACTTTCTCTAATATTAAAGAATTATTATTATAATTCAGATCTTTAAGCTGAGATCTGAATGACAAAAAAAAGTTAATCATTTGGAGACCACAGAAAAAGCATTCCAACTAAGCAAAGACGCCCCTTCCCCCCAACACTCCGCAAGTGAGAAAGGTATGCATGGCTGAGAAGCAAAAATAAGGTTGATATATAATAATGATTTGTGATCTTAATATTTTTAAACAGAGTCATTTACGCTGAGTGCAGTGGCTCATGCTTCTAATCCCAGTAGTTTAGGAGGCTGAAGCAGAGGATCGCTTGAGACCAGGAGTTGGAGACCAGCCTGGGCAGCAATAGTGAGACCCTGCCGCTACAAAAAAATTTAAAAACTCAGCTGGGCATGGTAGTGCATGCTTGTAGGACTAGCTACTCAGGAGGCTGAGGAGGGAGAATCAATTGAGTCCACGACTTGCAGGCTTCAATGAGCTATGACTGTGCCACTGCGCTCCAGCAAAAGTGACAGAGTGAGACCCTGACTCAAAAAAAAAAGTGAGTTTTATTCTAAGGGTGATGGGATGCCACTGGAGGATTCTAAGCAGAAGAGGGACAGGACCTAATTTGCTTTTTTAAATTGCTCTAAGTTGTGTGTAGAGTGGAACAAGGGAGAAAATAGAGGCTATCTCTGGCTTAGGTGAGAGAAGACAGTGACCTGGACTAGGGTGACAGGAGTTGAGACCAAGGCAAGTATAGAGATTGGGAGTATGTTTTAGAAACAAAGTTGACAGGCTCTGTTGATAGGTTAGCTGTAAGAAATATGGGACAGAATAATCAAAGGTAACTCCTAGATTTGGTACTTGAGTAACTAGGTGGGCGCCATTCATTAAGACCGGGAAGCAAGGGGAAGGCAGGTTGTTTAGAGATATCTACCACCTTCTGCTCAAAGCTTGATGGGGATAACAGTCCCCTTTTTTCTTCTGAAACTCAGGGTGGAGTGCATTGGCACAACTCGGCTCACTGCAACCTCTACCTCCCAAGGTCAAGTGATCCTCCAGCCTCAGCCTCCCAAGTAGCTGGGACTACAGGTGTGCACCACCACACCTGACTAATTTTTGTATTTTTTGTAGAGATGGGGGTTCACCATGTTGCCCAGGCTAGTCTTGAACTCCTGGGCTCAAGCAATCCATCTGCCTCAGCCTCCCAAAATGCTGGGATTATAGGTGTGAGCCACCATGCCCAGCCAAACAGTTCACTTTTAATCAAAAGTTTCCTTCTGCAAGTGTCCTACCTGCCCTGACCCATTATCTTTTCATTTACCACCTCTTACTTGATAAATAATTAAGCCTAATGCTGCACTATTAAGTACATAATTATCAGAAATGATTAACTGCATTAGATGAGTCATAAGTTCAAGAAATCCTCTCCAATATCTCTCCCAAAGAGGAACATTGTACTTTAAGCAGTGTCAGGCTGTCCTGAGGTCCCTCCTCACTATCTGAGAAGAGAATGGAATGAGGCCAGGAGAACTCAGGGTACCAGAATGTCCTGAGCTCAGGTTCTATTGATTTCTACTAGGGGGACCACCTTGGCCTCATTCTAGACTCCCTCTGTTTACCCCATGACCTACACTTAATCATTTACCAAAACTTTGACTCTGCCCTCACAACATCATGGGCACCTAGCTCTTTCTAGATGTCCCTTGTGCTGCCTGTCACTATCTCTCAACAGGACCATGTAACGGGCTGCTAAAGGATCTCTATTCTCTCCCTCCCATCAATCACCTCCCCACCCACCCACATGGCCAGATACCTCCCCAAAGCACAACTCTGATCATAACGCTGACCTATTCAGAGACTCTCCTGGACACCCTAAAGGGCCTGTCAAGTGGTCCTCCTGACAGCTCCAGACTTAAAAACACAGTCTTAGGAATATAGTAATGTTTTGAGGTTAAGTTTCCTCAAGTGTAAGATAGCATGAGCTATACAACCCAAGTTTGAATGATTTCTTGTCCTCTTACTATTTGGGTGATCAGAACATCTGTGAGCCTCTGTCCTCTCTCGGGCAGGGTTGGTGCAGGAGTTAAATGAAATTATGAACCAGTCATCACTGACACAGCTGACATCAGTTTCCCTTCCCTCTTTTCTCCTCCCAAGAGGATAATTACTTCATCCTCAAAGACAATTAGCAAGAGCTACAATGGACACTGTTATAGACAGAATTGTGTCCTCTCTGCAAAATTTATATGTTAAAGCCCCAACCCCCAATGTGATGGTATTTGGAGATAGGGGCTTTAGGGAGATAATAAAGTTAAATGAGGTCATAAGGATGGGGCCCCAATCTGATAGGATTGGTGTTCTTATAAGAGAGACACCAGAAATCTCTCTCTCTCCCCCTATACATACATAGTAAAGAAGCGAAACATGAGGACACAGCAAGAAGGTAGCCATCTACAAGCCAGGAAGAGAGGCCTCACCTGAAGCCAACCCTGAAGGCACCTTGATTTTGGACTTCTACCTTCTAGAACTATAAGAAAATTAATTTCTTTTGTTTAAGCCACCCAGTCTGTGGAATTTTGTTATGGCCACCTGAGCCAACTAAGACAGACACCATTGCTTTATGGCCTGTACTCCCCTGCCAGGTTTTTACGCTGCCCCTCCTGTTGCTGGAACTCACCAACAATGCATTCATTATGCCAATTTCCCAAACACTTTCTCCGTCCACTGCTCACCCATGCTCATTCCCATTTGGGAATCATGCCCCATGCAGGGAGTGACCTGGTGCCATGAATCATCATGTCCTTCTCTATAATTTTCTCCTACATTCCTGTGAATTCAGGATTTCAGACTTGATCTAAAATTTCCCCAACATGACCTCACTTCTCACTAACTTTTCCAAACCCTCCTCACCCACTGATGGGACTCAAAAGGCCATTACAAGTATATAGATACTTTTGCTGCCATTGTGCAAGATGAACTGAGTCTGACCAAACCCAACAGTTCTGAGAGCATGGGAATTGGGAAAATAACATAATGTCACAACACAAAAAGCAGAAAGGGTATTTTTTCTTTTGACTTTAGAAAATTCATAATCACATTTTACTACCTAGATGTCCTATCCTGAAAGGTTGGTGGGAGGGGAGGTGTATGAAGAAATTAAACAATCATTGAATCTTTCAGAGTTGACTGAGTCTGTGGATGCCACAGCTTAAGTTCCCTCTGCAACACTTCCCAAATGATGGTCAGTTTTTAATGCATATCTCTAGTGATAGAGAACTCGCTACCTTACAATACAGCTGAATCTGTGGTGGAACACCTCTAGTTGTTAAAAAAATCATCCTTTATCTGAGCTGAAATCTACCCATCAGTCCTACTTCTACCCTTTAGAGTAAAACAGAACAAGTCAAATCTCTCTTCCACAAGTTAGTCCTTCCGATATCTGAGGACAGGGGTGGTCTCCCTGCTTAAATTTTCCCCAGACTAACCTTCCTCTTCTCATGTATCTGTTCCTTATTGACAATGAACTTGATTCTCATCACCCTTGTTGCTCTTTGCTGCCCTGAGCCCCATCTC